GTTAGGTTCATAATTTTAATTCCTGAAATTTTGTGCCGTAAATCTTCAGCGACCTAATAGCTGTACTAAACTGGAAATGCTATAATTTAAAATTTCATGAGCAAGCATTGAACGTACATTTGAAAGATGTATGCATTAAATTTTTATTGCAATTCAGATGCTAATGGTTATGATAACACTGATACTGCATGTACTGTACATGAGAATTATAACAACTAATATCACCTTACACTCAGAATGATAGAAGACACTTATCAGTCATACTGTAAAATCCACACTCAAAACCTTTGCCTATATTCCAATTTGACCCAGTTCCTTAGCAATGTAGTCGTCCAGGTCTAATGAATGTTCGCACGTGCCACGTCACAAACTGCGTTCGATATTTAGCAACGAAATTTGTTTTTCCATACCCATACTCTTAGCCCGTGAGATTTCCAGCACCATTATAAATGACATGCGGTCACGGTGATAAATTTTGCACGGGCTCGAAAATGGGATACGAATCCTTTAAGTGGCCCTTAACAGCCTCACCAAAACCTCATCACTTCCGCTACATAGTTTATGACAGACATTCATAGAAATCATAGAGCTGGGGGAGAATATATTCCAGGGTAGTTTCGCCCTGCGTTGCACTCCATACGTAAGAGCGTTCTGTTCTCCTCGCGACTTAGACTGGAGGCTGATCTTCGAGAACCAAACCTCAATGAATTTGCGTAAGTAAGTGGCTTTACTCGATCGATGCAGTCACTGATTCCCATGAGATGATCTTCTTCGGGACGGTCTAAGTCTTAACACTGTTCAGATGCGTTTGTCTTGATCACATGATGTTTTTAGCCGCAGCTCTGTGGATGGTTACGATTAGTCCGTTCAGGTTCGACCTGCAGCCCAGTGGATGGTATGGAATGGCGCCTCGTGGTCTCATGATCTTCTATTGGTCGTTCCTCATCCTTGCCATAGCAGTCATGAACGCAGATCTCAAAGTTGCGCTAAGGAAGAAACAAATGAACAAACCGTCATATGCCATGTCAGATTTGAGTGTCGTCCCTCCTCCAGAGAGCGATATCGTCCTGCCGATGATAAACGTATTTATGCTTGCATTTGCCACGTCATAATATGAACGAAAAAAATCTTTTAGATGAAAATCAGAACCGCCACCTTATTGATTTTCGTGCTCGTCGCTGCCGGAGTAGTCGCGTGTCTCTGTTCCTTTGTTGGACTATCATACAAGTAGACATCTGGTGACATCCTGTACGAGAGAAATGAGTTTGTGGCACGCTATTGCTTATATATAAATATATAAAAGATGAACTACAGTACCATGGTGATATGTACAAAACCTGTTTCGGCTTTTCGCGATCGGTCTTGTCTTACATTTTTCATATGAGTTCTTTGTGGTAGAATATATGCAATTTTGCTTTTCGACGTACAGTGCTTTCGAGCTTAGAAACTAAAATTGACATGAATGACAGGGAACATGCAAATAAATGTCATCTTCCGTTGAGAGAGATGGCAGTGTGAAAATGACCGTTGGACACTGTTACTAAGGCCACTCCGGTTCTTGGTCATCAAGGCAAGGGGCTTATATTGCTTTCATTTCGTTACATGATCCATGAAGCCTTGTGTTATTTTTTGTTGTTGTACTAATGCAAATGTGTGTTGTTCTTTGAATATACGGTTCATGACCATTTCTTTCTGTTTTTCTTGCTGTGACTCATCGTTTTTCATTTAAATGCTAGGCAGCATGATTAAAAGATTTTATCGTAGTTCTTTCAGGGATCAGTATTGGACGACCAATTTTAACTCTTTTATCTGAAATGACTTCGAATTTTTCCAAGTGGAAACTCCCTGTCATTTCATATTCGAAACCATAGTAACTATTTAGAGGAAGAAGTGATCGAGTAGAGGATATGCATATACACGCGTGAATAAAACATACGAAGGATCCGTTGTTTCGCTCATCTGGCGCAGTTTAATAAATTCAAGCAAAGCCACCAATAAAATGTTTTAAATC